CATCCTTGAAGGCTGGCTTTCCCTCAGGTGCCGGGCGCTGGGCAGGCCGGGATGTCAGGGAAGGCTGCTCTCTTGCACATGCACCAGGTCGCGGCTCCTTGGGAGGCCAGAAGCTAATACTCATGACGTCACCGCTTCTGCAGACCAAGTCACACACCCCTCTATAAGTGGGGATGGGTGTCCAACCAAGGACCCCGAGGAAGGGACACATGTTGCTCATCCAGCTGGCCCCACTGGACAAAGCACGGTGCGGACAGGTGTGCCTGCAGCAGGTTGCTTCTTGCAGCAGCCTGGTCTCTGCGTGCCTTCCTACAAAGCCACGTGTCTGCCAGGCTGTGTCCAGGCACTGTCTTGGGCTGTATACAACCTACCCCACCACTGCGGCATGACTGGCTGTGGACAAGACCCAAGCCCTGCGGGACGCGGGCCCTGGGCGAAGCACATCACGTCCTGGTGAAATGAGCAGACAGGATTTATTCTTATCAGAGCAGACATTATACAGCACCTGCGCTTTATGGGAGATAGAAAATCACAGTGACCAACATGAACCTGTTCCTCTGCTCCAGGGGGGCTGGTGGGCTGAGCAGCCTTCCTGGACCACTAGAACACAAGCCCCCTGAACCCTGCCCTCCTGATGGAGGCCCCAGCTGGTGGGTGCCTAAACTCACTGAGGAGCAGTTAATTTCTGGGACAGAATCTAGAAAATGGCCCGTGTGAGTAGAAGGGGCAAGCCAAGGAGTGCAGACAGAGGGGCTTGGACGTCGTCCTGGGAACACAGGAAGTGCAGAAATGCATGCAGTGGGTGATCCACACTCAAAACTGTAAATGTTAGGGCTGCTGTGTGCAGCACAGACCAAGATCCCCTCACACGGAGTCAGGCAGAGGAGAAGCTCATCTCCAGCCCTCGGAGGGATTGGTGGACAGGAGAAGATCAAGTCCAGAGAAATCCTAAGCTGGCCTGGGTGTGCCGAGGCGGATCTAGGCTCTTGAGGACCTTGGTAGGAGGAGAGACCTGACATGGGCCAGGGTCAGCCACCAAGAGCTCCCTGTGGGTTAGATTCAATTTGAGATGAGTACAAGCCCAGAAGAGAAGTAGCCAGCCTTGGACATCTGGAAGTTACTTCCAAAGGGACGGGAGGAACACTGGTGGCAGAGGGCAGGAGCCGTGGTGCTGTTTACAGGCACGTGCAGCTGCGAGTCAGCACAGGACCCTACATGCATCAGCCCCCTGCAGTGTGGAGGAGAGCTAGCCCGGGGAACAGAATCCACAGACTCGGCGGGCTGGACTGGACCTGCTCTGGACTTGTTGCCAAAATGGCTATGACTTGGTGATTGCCATCCCAAACTAGCAGGACTGAAGGAAGTGGGTAATTGACAGCTCTTTCTGACCACAGAGAGCCAGCAGCAGAGAGTGTTTATGAGCTGCCACCTCCGCAAGTCTTTGGACGGAGTTAACTGGGTCCCTGGGAGGAGTAGCACGTTCTCCCAGCTCACCTTTGGTCAGCTCTCTGTTCACCCTTTCTTCCACCGACTCCAGCCCGGGGCCTCACTCTCATGGGAGGGGGAGCAGAAGGCCCTCCAGCTCTGCTGCTGGCTGCCCTCTGACTTGCATTCAGGACATGTGGTCCCTTCACCAGGACCCTGGGAGCAGGCCCATCCTGCCTGCATCCTGCATGTGGCATGTAGGCCCCTGGGTCCCCAAAGGTGGTCTACAGAGCATCCCTGGGATGCCCCTCACCCTGCCGGAGCCCCAGTACCCACCATGAGACCCCAGGACTGCCCAGGGCTGACCTCCCCAAGCATTCTGCCACAGCCCCTCCCATCCTGACACATTCAGCTCCTCTGAGGGATTGGGATGCAGCATGACTGACACCGGGAAGGAGGGGTCAAGGGAGAGTTTGATCAACCCCCTTCACAGCCCGAGTTGCGTTCGATTGCTCTGAAGAGGAAACACATGCACTTACCCGACACTCCAGACATCATGTTCTCATGCTCTTCTAGAAGGGGCTATTATTTGGCATCAGGTTCAATCAAAAGGCACAGTTCCTTACAGGAACCTTATAGCACTGAGGGACCACACCGGGAAACCTGTGGCCTCCCGATTCTGCTGGCCTTTCTCTGGGCTCTACTGCAGGGGTCTTGCTAACAATGGAGATTGAGATGTGATTTACAGGCCATGCTTGGCTGTTAGGACTGCCTGTGAAAGTCAGACCCCAACATGTCAACTAGTGTCGACATTATTGAAAACTGAAGGAGAGAACACCTGAACAATCAATCACCTTGGTATCCTCAATAAATGTCACACACAAATCTGCAACCTGCGATGCCCTCAGGTACCCTCTGGACATTGTAGCACAGAGACCCCTCATCTGACCCCCTTTCAACAGCTCTATTTCATATTGCCGGTTTTTTTAATGGTGCCCACCTGAGCCATCGATGCATGCCTGGGCTAAGATCCCGGTCTCAGACAGGCCTGGCCAGCTCCACCCAGGAAGAGCCCACTCTTGACCAACCTCCTGCATACGGGAACCCAGGAAACCCGAGCTCTGGGCAGCCAGAGACCGCTCCTCCTTGATCCTAGGGGAACCCCCCTGACCACAGGGGGTTCAAGTAGACACATGGCTAAGCAAACGTCGAAACCCTGCAGAATGGTGAGTGGGTGGAAGAGGACAGGTGTGCACTTTACTCACAGTCACTATCTCAACTATCTGAAATTGAGATGCTAAAAGCAATTGTAACCTTTCTATCCAAATTGAATGTAAATTTCCAGCCACCAATTCAAATGTGCCATGTAACTTAGCTCCCCAAGATGGCATTTCCAACTTGACGTTCAAGCCATTCCTAAAATGGACTAATTAATGGACATAATTATTATAAGAACAAACTTTTTAAATTAAGAACAGACTTCCACATAATCGGGGAATGGCTTTCTAGTTCTTGACAGAGCCGTCCTTCCTGGGCTGTGGGGGCTGCTGACGCCCCCGCAGGGCAGATCCAGCTCTGACGGGGCTTCTGTCCTGCTGCAGCCCTTCCCGGGATGGTGATCTCGGTGAAGACACAAGACCTTTGGGTTTAGCATGAGATTTTACTTCAGAAGGTATTTCTCCTATATGACCACTGAAAAGACGGAAAAGCCAGTGCTTCCCGGACTGCGGTGTGCACTCTGCTCTGTGGCCGGACCTTCCCGGTGTCCGTCCTGGCTGGCGTCCGTGTAGGCAGTGGACTTCCAGCAGCAACAGAACACCGTGATAAGTCTTCAAGCCGTCTCCAGAATTAGTTTGTGCTCAGTCTACAGTGTGTGACAACGACTCACGGACAGGAGTCAGCAAAGAACACGGGCTCTGCAATGGTCACGGTCACGTTGGTGTGGGGTCCGGCTGAGGGGCCGGTACGACGCTCTGCACCCAGCCTGGAGGCCACTGCTCGGCGGCAGGCAGACCCAGCAAGCCCTCTCGTTCCTGGGGAGCTAAGGCAGACTGCCCACTGTCACGGTGGAGGTAGGCAGCGCCTGCCTGTCAAGAAGCAGCCCCACACCTGTTCTCTCACTGGCCAAAGCTCCATCTTTGAGACAGACACGGCCCTGGCCAAACCCACAAACCTGGTCAGCTTCCCCTTTATAAAAGTGTCCAAAGAAATGCCCACCCTGGGCAGAGACAGAGCCAGAGAAAGCAGAGGTGAGGGCTCCGGGCGCCTTCACGCCCACAGGCAAAGCCCACCCTGTGGCCACCGTCCGGCTCACCTGAGTGGGTCTGCTTCAGAAGTCTGTATGGGCTATTCACACTCAGCACGTAACCCAGCAGAATGTTCTAAGATACACAGTGCTAAAGGAATAAGACGGTGCTTCTCAGGAGTGAGGTGCCAGGGCGTCCCACTGTGAGGGAGGACCCAGAGGCCCAGCCCACCACGCCCTCCCGCCATCACCCAGACACGGCTCCCTCCTGTGCCACCTCGTGCTGTGGGAGGAGCCAGGTCTTGATCTGAAACTCTCCTGGCAAGAGAAATGTCACCCTGTCATCACCCACCGACCCCAGGAAGCCAAGCGGCTGTCCTAGCACACGGGCGGTGTGTGAATCTCAAGGTAGGAAACAAAATTAAAACTAGGATGGGAAGTGGCACCTGCTGTAGAGCTGCCACCAGCCCAGCCTCTGCAGCTGGCACAGGAGCGCTCAGCGTGGCCCAGCTGTGGGCTCTGTCTGCCGCTGTGCCGCCAGCTGGTGCCTGGCCTCTCTGAGCCTTGTAGTTCCAGGCCCGGCCGCTTCGAAGGGGACTGAAGCAGAGCAGCTGCCTCACAGCCAGAGAGGACCCTTCCTGCTCTCTCCCGGGGGACTCTCAGAGGACCTCGGGTAAATGTTCCTAAGTCCCACTGGGAACCTCCACTTCTTAAAGGGAAATGCCTCTCTAAGACGTGAAATGAGCTCCAACAAGCCGACCAGTTGTCGCTGAACCTTGGAGAACTCACCCTGGGCACACTGACCCTCCAAGCCAGGAGGGAAGCACCCCAGGACATCCGGCTCCCTCCTGCCACCACCCCAGAGGACTCACCCTGGGCACACTGACCCTCCAAGCCAGGAGGGAAGCACCCCAGGACATCCGGCTCCCTCCTGCCACCACCCCAGAGGACTCACCCTGGGCACACTGACCCTCCAAGCCAAGAGGGAAGCGCCCCAGGACTTCCACGTCCAGCTCCCTCCTGCCACCACCCCAGAGGACTCACCCTGGGCACACTGACCCTCCAAGCCAGGCGGGAAGTGCCCCAGGACGTCTGACTCCCTCCTGCCACCACCCCAGAGGACTCACCCTGGGCACACTGACCCTCCAAGCCAGGAGGGAAGCACCCCAGGACGTCCGGCTCCCTCCTGCCACCACTCCAGCGGCTGCCTCCAGACCCACCCTGAAGCACAGCTGCCGGTGTTGGGCTGAAGGGAACCTTAAGGTGCCCCAGTGGGTGACAAGGGAATGGGCTTAGAAGCTACAGGACCCTTTGCGAACACCTGCCTTACATGTTGCGTGGGCCGTGAGGACCGCCGGACACCAGGGAAAGTGGGGCTTAGGCAGATGCAGCCATTGCTTTAGCCCAGACAAACCCAAGCGAGATCCTTTTGCAGTAGGGCCAGAGAGAAGAGTCCACGCAGTGAGCAGGCCACCTGGCCAACCTGGATCTTCCTTCAGGAGCATGCGGGTCTCCTGTCAGGTGGGCGCTGCCCTCCAGCTCCTCCCATGGGGCTTTCTCCAGCTCCTGAGGTGGTTCAGGGCGACCTGGGAGCTGCCCGGGGACCTCAGGTCCCTCTGCTGGCCGGCTGCCCCAGCAGAGCACAGGTGTTCACAACTAGGCCATCTCTGATTCCAGAATGGGACGGGCTGGGATTCCTCGACCTCAGGGTGGCACGGAGCGCCTGGGCTTCCCGGCCCGAGGTGCAGAGTCCAGGCTTCTGCACCCACGTGGTTCGCGTCCCGTCAGACCAGGAGGGGTGGCAGTTGACCACGGGAGCAGGGAAATGTTTCCTGGCCTAAGAGAGTGACTTGGTTGCCCCGGGTAGACCGAGCAGGGCACAGCTCCAGGGTGTCTCCACCGGCAGGCAGACCCTCAAAATGAAACAGAGGAAAAGGAGCTGCTTTTAAAATTATGGAGCTCCCCGGGGAAAACATGCCTCATGGTCTGCGCTGTGGGCAGTATTGATTCCCCCTGCTACTGAGAGGGTTCATCACGCCTCCTCCGCAGTTCCCCCAGAACCCAAGTCCAGACGAGGGAGAGCCGCAGCTGCAAGGAGGCTCCCCGGCTCCTGCCTCAGACACACACACACACACACACACACCCTCTCCTTACACACACACCTCTCCTGCCTCCCCCTGCACACACACACACACACCCTCTCCTTACACACACGCCCTCCCCCTGCACCACACCCCTCCTACCGCACACACACACACACACCCTCTCCTTACACACACACCTCCCCTGCCTCCCCCTGCACACACACACACACCCTCTCCTTACACACACACCTCCCCTGCCTCCCCCTGCACACTCACACACACACACACCCTCTCCTTACACACACACCTCCCCTGCCTCCCCCTGCACACACACACACATACACACCCTCTCCTTACAATACACCTCTCCTGCCTCCCCCTGCACACACACACACATACACACACCCTCTCCTTACACAGACACCTCTCCTGCCTCCCCCTGCACACACACACACACACACCCTCTCCTTACACACACACCTCTCCTGCCTCCCCCTGCACACACACACACATACACACACCCTCTCCTTACACACACACCTCTCCTGCCTCCCCCTGCACACACACACACACACCCTCTCCTTACACAGACACACACACACACATACACACACACCTCTCCTTACACACACACCTCTCCTGCCTCAGGCACACACACACACACACCCCTCTCCTTACACACACACCTCTCCTGCCTCCCCCTGCACACACACACACATACACACACCCTCTCCTTACACATACACCTCTCCTGCCTCCCCCTGCACACACACACACCCTCTCCTTACACAGACACACACACACACATACACACACACCTCTCCTTACACACACACCTCTCCTGCCTCAGGCACACACACACACACACCCCTCTCCTTACACACACACCTCTCCTGCCTCCCCCTGCACACACACACACATACACACACCCTCTCCTTACACATACACCTCTCCTGCCTCCCCCTGCACACACACACCCTCTCCTTACACAGACACACACACACACATACACACACACCTCTCCTTACACAGACACCTCTCCTGCCTCTCCCTGCACACACACACATACACACACACCTCTCCTTACACACACACCTCTCCTGCCTCTCCCTGCACACACACACACACCCTCTCCTTACACAGACACACACACACACCCTCTCCTGTCTCTCCCTACACACACACACACCCTCTCCTTACACACACACATACACACACACCTCTCCTTACACACACACATACACACACACCTCTCCTTACACACACACCTCTCCTGCCTCTCCCTGCACACACACACACACCCTCTCCTTACACACACAACCTCTCCTGCCTCTCCCTGCACACACACACACACACATACCCTCTCCTTACACACACACCTCTCCTGCCTCTCCCTGCACACACACACACACACACCCCTCTCCTTGCACACACACCTCTCCTGCCTCCCCCTGCACACACACACACACACACCCTCTCCTTACACAGACACACACACACACATACACACACACCTCTCCTGCCTCTCCCTGCACACACACACACATACACACACACCTCTCCTTACACACACACCTCTCCTGCCTCTCCCTGCACACACACACACACACCCTCTCCTTACACAGACACACACACACACACCCTCTCCTGCCTCTCCCTACACACACACACCCTCTCCTTACACACACACATACACACACACCTCTCCTTACACACACACCTCTCCTGCCTCTCCCTGCACACACACACACACACACCCTCTCCTTACACACACAACCTCTCCTGCCTCTCCCTGCACACACACACACACACACACACCCTCTCCTTACACACACCTCTCCTGCCTCTCCCTACACACACACACACAACCTCTCCTGCCTCTCCCTACACACACACACACACAAATCCCAGACTTGCATGATCTCCTTACATCCCTCACTTCTACCTTCTGTGCTCATGTAAAACTCAAATTGATCAAGGTGCAAATATCCACCTGGATTTGAAGTCATGGAGTTCACAACCCCTGTCCCCATGCCACCAGGGTATCTATCTACTTTGTCTTCTGTGAAGATTGCCCTGAACAACACAGACATCCATCCTGCTCCATGTCTTCAGTGGCCACAGGGTTAGAGGTCAGGGGCCTGCTACTCCCAGCCAGGGAGTGCCAGGAGTTTAATAAGTCGTGGCCCTGGAGTTGTGCAGTGCACAACCTGAGTGCCCTTCCAGAAAACAACTCTGGGAAGTCCAGAAGGGCTGGAAAATCAGCACGGTCACAGTCTCCACCCAGCTCCTCAGAGAAGGGTGTCTTCACCGTCACCAGCACACTCTCTCCCTACTGAGGCTCAGATTTCAGAATCCACATGCCAACAAAGTTTAGCCATCGCTGATGCAATGAGGGGAAAGCACATGCACCTTCAGAAGCCAGGCACAGGGCACAGAGGACAGGGGCTGGGTCCCACAGCAGGAACAGGTCCCAGGGCTCAGCTCACAGAACAGGTAGCACCTGTACCCTGGTGACCAGGACATGCATGCCAGGCAAGCCAAGGGTCCCAGTGGAGGCAAGGCCACCACCTGGGTCTGGAGCCTGGGACAAGTTACTCCCTGCCACAGCAGGAACCATGCCCTGGTCACAAGGAAGTCAGCGAACAACCCCAGGGAGGTACCCACGGCCCAGCCGGGTGCTCACGGCGGCCAACTTGGAGGTGTGGGGACAGTGTCCCTGAGTCCTCGGCACTGCACGTCTGCGAAGCGCGTCAGACGTCGTGGGACGCGGCGAGAGACACGAGCATGGAATCCTATTGCAGACTCACACTGATTTTTTTTAATGAAGATGATCCTGCGGGTTGTTCTCCATCGGGAGTCACTCCTGGTTGCAAACCCAATATACGATGTATCAGTTTTTGTCTTTTCTTTCTATTTATTTTCTTTTATCCGGAGCCGGTTGAGACTCTTTTCCTCTCTCCTCTCCCTTCCCCCCTTTCTCTCTCTCTACACACTCACAGTGATTTTTAAGAAATCAGCAGTCATCAGCAACACGCATGCCGTCAGGAAATGGGAGACTGACAGTTCTCATTGTCACCCGAGGCTACTCCACCAGACCCACATTTGTCGATCTGCTTAACTTAACATATCAAATATTAGTGTCAAATGCAAATACGGGGCAGATAATTTTAGAGACTTGTTATTACATGACATTCAAAATCATATGCTACGTTCTGCAACACTCAAAGAAAGATAAAAATGAAAAATGAAGTTAATGAAAAGTTATTGCCTTACTGAAGACTGCAGAATCAGGCACTTTACATTAAAATAAAATCTTTTTAGAACACTAAAGCTTATGGAAAATAATAATTGAAGGGTGAATCGCTCTAATGGAATACTCTCAGTCTCATGCCTCCAATCGTCTTTCCAGCTGACTCAAAGGCTTTATTTTTATCATCACACTCGATTTATAAATAAGTTTGGGGAAGGCATCGGGCTGCCACAGAGGAGGTGGGCGCTGCTGCCTGCTGGACCCCAGGGTTCCTCCCGGGGCCACCACCGACCAGGTTAGCATGGAGGTGACCGCGTGCACCAGCGGGGACTCCCAGGCAGCGCAGCAGAGCCAGTCGGGCCAGGGTTCAAGGTGTGTGCACAGCTCTCAGGCCCCGCCTGCTGGCCGGGCCGGACCTGCTCCGTGGGGGTGGTTCTGCTGGTCACTGGAGGGTGAAGCTGGGAAAGCTCTGGGCCCAGGCTGCGTGGCCTCTGGCTCAGGGGGAGGTTTGCAGGACCCCTGCACAAGGTGCGGTCTGAGCCCTGCTGATGTACGGCTCCGCAGGCTCATTCCAGAACCTGCCGCCCTCCGCGTCCTGCAGACTTTTAATCAGTCTCTGTCAGTCTTGACATTGGTGTCCTGCTTCTGAAAATGAAGCCTTTAATCTAAACCCTGGGTTTCCAGAGACACTGTCGCTCGCTTGCCGATCACATCCCATGGTCCCCACAGAACTGTCAGGTGCTGGACCAGCCCAGCCACTGCTCATGCACAGACAGCACAGCCTTCTGGAGCACTCTCCAGACCCTGACCTCCCTCTGTCTGTCTTCTGGTCTCCAGATGTGCACAGGCAGGCCCAGCTCTCACCGTCTTGAGACACTGGAACCAGGTCACATTCTAAGTGTGCCCATCTGGAGGGACCAGGCGAGCCCCTCCTGTGGGTCTGTCCCCATTTCCAGAGTTAACCCAGCTCCTTCCTCCTGGACCAGGGGTTGAGCTCACGTGCCTTCTGGTCTCAGTAATGCACTGTGCCCTCTGATGGCAGTGTCCCTGGTGCAAGCTGTCCCCTGCTGGTGTATGACTTCAACTGTGACTTTCACAGGCCTCAGGAAGTAGCCACAGCTCTCCCCTGGCCACCCCATCAATGCAGAAGCTGCCAAGGCCCCAGGCCGATGGGATCCCCCGGGGCTGATCCGGCCCTGAGGAGGCAGCCCAGCCTTGAGAGCAGCCCGCACCACAGGCAGCGGCCGTCACCCTTTGCCCAGGCTCCGGTCTGACACCATGGAGCAGGACATGCTTCCCTCCCACTAGGGAAAGCTAGGGTGCCCCCGCCCCGGGAGAAGCAGGTCCCTGAGCCCAAGGCAACCCTTCTGAAGCCTCTTCTGCT